ATGTTTGGGATGATTGCAGGCAGTGCTGCTTCTCTACCTGATCGGAGGTTAAGCGTCCTGCAAGGTGGGAAGATCTCTGTCTCCAAGGTAGGATACAAGCAACTGGTAATGTTTCACGCATGTTCAAGGTTGTACCTTTTGGCTCTGCTGTTTCCCGACTTGGTGGGAACTCGGAGCTTCTTACGGATGCCCTCTCAGGATGCCACAGCTCCTGAGCTCTGCTGTGTGCCATTTAAATTCTGCTCCTGGGCCACTTTAGGTGGCAGTTACCAGCCCTGACTTTATAGCGCCTCAAAATTTGTGGGCTTTGAAAATTAGGAAGGATGGCTGATTCTCAAGTCATATTTTATTTCCGTAAGAAGGGAACAATGGATAAAAGTAACATTCTGCAGGACTAGCAGCAGATGCAGCGTTTGTAAGGCTTTGAGAAGATACTCAGTCCATTCAGCCCAGCACACCAGGATAGAACTCAACTGCTGTGCGCTGTTTCTGGCTCTGCCAGAGACCACTTGTGATCCGTCACAAATCCCACCACCTCCACTCACCCTCCTGCCTTTTCTAGCACCATTCCTTAGAGAAGCAATCCAGTGCTACACTACTCCAAGGGCCAAACCAGCTCCTGGTCAGAATGCTTTCTCCTCCTCCATGTATTCAAGAAAGGCAGGTTGGACCGCATTCAGCCTTTATTGGCTGATCCCTATTTAACGAGACTGGTAAACACAGATCATACACACACAGAGCTTTGTTTGCCCACGATAACGCAATTGCACTTAATGCTGAGTCAGCAGGAGCTCTGCATGCTTTGAAAATGAAAGCCATAAAAAGTGAATTTCACATTAGGAAAAAACCAAGCAGCCTGTTTGCTAGTGAGCAGCTTTGTTGCCTGGGTACCAAGCACAGTAGCTCCTTTTTGCTCCGTGCCAGGGCCCTGTAAGTGCACGCTGTATCTTATTTCAGTCCAGAACCATTACGGCTATTTAGTCATCTCCGGTGAAACGCTCCGTTTGCTGCTTCCCGCAGACCCAGGCTGGCAACAGAGACAATCCTGCCTGCACGATGAGGGATCTTTCAAGGGAGGATTTGAGTTCTTAAAAGCCTTATTGTCTCTGTAAGGCACAAACAGTGCTTCTTTCCCCTACCTGCTTTTCTGTGAGCCACTGAAACAAAGCGGGGCTGTGCGGCACAGCCTGGCAGCTGCTGGCAGCTCCCTGCACCAGCTCTATCTCACTCAGATCGCTGAACTGTAAAAGCTTGGTTTGTTCTGGGGGTTTGTTGTTGTTGTTCTGTGGTGGTTTGTTTTGTTGGTTGGTTTGGGGTTTTTTCAACTCTTACACCAAAAGTCACATTTTCATCAGTTAATAGCAGGTCCTTTCACCAGTGACCTGTGAGGCAATGGAGATACTGTGAATTCTAGTCTTAACGTGGAAATAAAATCCAACAGTTTCAAGATAGAGCTCCAGATGCATTTACAAATCAACTGAAAGGAGGATTGATCAGTAGTATTAATCAGTAGTTTTAAAGTGCCTTTATGAAAAAAATGAGATTGACCATAACTATTTGAAATTAAAGAACTAATAAATGTTCAGCTACATTTACACTACGTCTTATGAACACGGGTTCACGAGACAATATCCCATAAGAGAAGTATCAATACATTTAAATAGCTGCTTGGTCAGCTTATGTCAGCTTTAACATCCAGTGATTATGAGCAAGAGAAGACTTCGTTCCTCTGTGGTCCAGTCCCTGCTGGTCTACTTCAAGTTCTCAAAGAAAACTTAATGAACTTGCCCTTAACAGGCAAATCTAAAAAAAAAACACCTTACCAGGAAGAGACTGAGCACTGCTCTTCACTCAGTTTTGACTTACCCATGTCCCTAAGCCTACCACACCACACTGGGGGAATTCCACCCTCTTTAAAACGAATTTACATTACAGAAAACAGAGGTAGAGCTTGCTTTCCCTTCAAGGCCATTCCTTCCACACGACATCCTTGTCTCTAAACTGGAGAGACATGGATTTGACAGATGGACCACTTGGTGGATAAGGAATTGGCTGGACGGTCGCACTCAAAGAGTTGTGGTCAACGGTTCCATGTCCAAGTGGAGGCCTGTGACAAGTGGTGTTCCTCAGGGGCCAGTACTGGGACCAGTGCTGTTTAACATCTTCGTTGGTGACATGGACAGTGGGATTGAGTGCACCCTCAACAAGTTTGCTGATGACATCAAGTTGTGTGGTGTTGTGGGCACACTGGAGGGAAGGGATGCCATCCAGAAGGACCTTGACAGGCTGGAGAGATGGGCCTGCGAGAACCTCATGCAGTTCAACAAGGCCAAGTGCAAGGTCCTGCACAGGGCTCAGGGCAATCCCATGCACAAGTATAGGCTGGGTGGAGAATGGATGGAGAGCAGCCCTGAGAAAAAGGACTTGGGAGTGCTGGTGGATGAGAAGCTCAACATGAGCCTGCAATGTGCACTGGCAGCCCAGAAAGCCAACCATATCCCAGGCTGCATCCAAAGAAGTGTGGCCAGCAGGTCGATAGAGGGGATTCTCACCCTCTACTCTGCTCTCGTGAGACACCACCTGGAATACTGCATTCAGCTCTGAAGTCCCCAACAAAAGAAGGACATGGAGATGCTGGAGTGAGTCCAGAGGAGGGCCACAAGCATCATCCGAGGGCTGGAGCACCTCTGCTATGAAGACAGGCTGAGAGAGTTGGGGCTGTTCAGCCTGGAGAAGAGAAGGCTCCGTGGAGATCTTACAGCAGTCTTCCACTACAAAAAAGCTGGAGAGGGACTTTTTACAAGGGCATGTAGTGATAGGACAAGGGGCAATGGCTTTAAACTGAAAGAGGGGAGATTTCGATTAGATCTAAGGAAGAAATTTTTCACTCAGAGGGTGGTGAGGCACTGGAACAGGTTGCCCAGAGAAGTTGTAGGTGCCCCATCCCTGGAAGTGTTCAAGGCCAGGTTGGATGAGGCTTTGGGCAACCTGGTGTAGTGAAGGGTGTCCCTGCTTAGGGCAGGGGGGTTGGAACTGGATGATCTTTGAGGTCCCTTCCAACCCAAACCATTCTATGATTCCCCTCACCCTCAGAAATCACAGTAGCAACCCTAGAGTACAACTGCAGTTCCAGGACTTACCTGAAGCAGTCTTGCCAGGGAACTTGATAGCTTAGTTTCCTCTCAGAATTTGTTTATCAAGAGCCATCTCCGCTCTAAGAAAGGGCTTTACCTCCGATGCAACCTTTTATTAGAGCTAGTGCTACTGTGACCGAGTCAGTCTCCTTCCTATTGGTTTTGAGAAGCATGAAATGCAATGCCTGAGTCAGAGGACTGTCTCCATGGGCTTCCCGAGAACTTTAACCTACCCATGGAATACAAAGCAAGGCTTCTTATGAAATCAAGACACCTGTTACATATCAGTCCTTTTCAGCCAGCTGCAAAGCACTGTTCCAAGCTGTTTGTTTCCACCCCTTCATGACCACCACCATTCCCACTGCATTCACTGGGTGCAACAGTACCTGTTAAATGAAGCCTTCAGTAGCCTTGAGAAATTACCTGCCTGTTCATACTGGCACACCAAAAGAAGTCTTTGTAGTAAAGCTCAATATATGCTCTTAACTTTTGCCTTTGTTTTTACGGTATTTAAACAGACAGATACAGCAAAGTGCTTAAACCTACACTTTTCCCACCTCTAAAACTATAGACTTTATAAACTGACCTTCAGTCTACTTTTCATCGCTTGCTTTAACCACCTTTCTTCCCCTGCTTTTCACTAGTATTCAGTGACACAACAAATGCTAAAGACACATTTAAGTAAAAGGTATATCCCACAGCATTGAGCCTAAAGCTTAAATTAGTCTGCCTTTGAAGGCAAGCAAGAAAGTAATTCCAGCGTAGACTAAGGCCAGAAACAGCAGATAACAGACTGAAGAATATCGACTACAAGGTTTAAGTGCTTTATATTTATTATAAAGAACTGCGTGTATGGAAAATGATTCTCTATACTAGAGAATAAAATGACAGCTTTTACAAGTTATGCTATACAGTACATGAGGTGCTGCACATTTTTCAGCTGCTTGAAACAATATTTGCTATACAAGTGAAAAAGAGTAGACTCAGAAGTTTATTATTTATAATACAGTGTGTTAGAAAGCACAAACAAATATAAACAAGCTCCAAAAAATCTAAAGAAATCTGTAGATGACATGTACACAGATTATACTGAAGTTTCAATATACACATTATCGTTCCCCGCAAGATGCTCCACTTTACTGGATTGCTGGAACATAACGAAAATTGAAGGTGCAACAAGAGCACCTCCCAAGCCACATAAGCATCAGATGGGCAGAACAGCCATTTCCTCAAGTGTTCCCCGCAGTCTTTGGCACTACTGTTTTATAGCCATATACTGTGGCAACACAAGAGAGATGGGCTCCAATTACAACTATTGGCAATGTCAATCCAGTTTATCTGGGGAGTTGCTAGAGCAATTCAAGGCACTCTTCCCAGTGGTGCCAGCCCACAGAACCCCCTGTACAGGACACAGCATTTTAAGAGACAACCAGGCTGGGCTAAAGCATGTTCTTGAAGGACTGGAAGGAACAGTTCAAGACGAACTCCTTCAAGAATGTCCAGTCCGAAGTTCACTCCACTTCACAGGCACACCAGCTTAAGAGAAACATTCATATATGTGTAGATAACACTTTAAAGCATACCGCTTCAACGTGTTCAGTTGCTTTACGGTTAAAGTGGTGTAACGTATCAGCAGCTTTGAAGATAGTGTTCATGGAGCACATTGAACCTAATCTCACAATAAGATTAAGCCCACTTCACAGTTTAACAGTTGTCTCCTTCGCTTTTCCTTCTTATTAAGAGGCAGTGTCTAGAATGAATCAACTTTTACAACTGTTGCCCTTACAACACAAACCATAATGCCAGACCCCTAGAAAATGTACTGACAGTAACATTGTTTGCTCTGATGCATGAGATATTGACACTTAAGCTTTTTCCCTAATATAAAATACCTTCTAGATCAAAAAGACTTAAAGATATTGCACTGTTGTATTTTACCTCCCAATCTCATTCCAAGTATTTATGCAACTGTAAACAAGTCATTTTTATACAGTCTTCATTCCTGTACACCTGTGTTCCAAGGAACTGGAATTCAGTGACACCTTCACTAGAGATACAGTAGCCTAAGCACAGTGTAAGTTCTGTCCAGCTGCCCTCTTCATACAGTAACCAACAGGCCACTCCTCCCACGTTCACACTTTCAGCTTCCTCTTCTGATCAAAGTATGCATCAAATCTGGATAATGCATATTCCTGGAGAAATAAGGGACATTCAATACTCAATACAGTAAACACTGCTGAGTCCTCTTATTTGGGATGGGGAAGCATAATGAGGGTATTAACCGTGGTACCTTCCTAATCCATCATCTCAATGCATTAATTAGCTTCATTTGGGAAGGATAATCTCTCCAGAGGTGTTCCGGCCTCTTGAAACTTCCTCCAATCTTATTTTAACTCTAACACTATTAGCTGCTGCCAGCATGTCAGAAAAAAATAGGAACTAAAAAGGTCAGGATTTCACCAGAAAAGATGGCTTCTGCAACACTTCCTACAGGATATTCAGTGTACCTGAAAGCTGTATCACTTTACATTACACTGAACATGCATCAGGAGTTAGACTGACCCCTTTCTCAAGGACAAGCAGCTACCTGGCATTGATATTGTTGCACACTGAACATCAAGATGTTCTTACATGCACACTTTGACTACTCAATTTCCAAATTCACACTTACACATGCTAGCTTCCCTCTTGCGTGGGATCCCTTACTGCAGAAGATTACTTCACTGCAAGGCATCATCCCACTGCAAGGCCTGACACCTAAGGCTTTACTCTCTGTGTAACAACGGGAAGAATTTCTGAAGTTTTTACCGTCTTAGATGTGCTTTAGATTCTTAAGGAAAGAGCACAAACTAGTAACAAACTGATTTTAGAAAGTTTTATTCCACTTAAGAGATATTAGTTGCTGTGAGAGGCCATTTAATTTACTTCCTGATAATGTACCACAGGTTACTTAAAGTATACATTTTTTAGCTACATGAAACTACAATTAAATAACTTACCAGGTAACCAAACTCAATGGATGAGATCTTTGCTTGTATGATGGACCACAGACCCCAGAAGAAGTGTGATGCAAGGGCAAACCTGAAATTACAAGGCTATATTTATTGAATATCCAGCTAAGTCACAACACCTTATTTCAGTGTTCTGTTAGAACAGCACTTCCTAGCTTGCGGATGTCCACACCTTTTCTTCAAGTATGCCATTAAAAAATAATTCTGTTAGCTTTTCCTATGAAGTAGCAGGGTTTTTTCTTCCCACTAATAGCGTACACCACATATCTAAAGGTTACAATGGACAGAGTTTTCTTTACCGTGTATAAATAGCTTAAAATCTCTTTTGCTGAAGTTTCTCCACTCAGTGAGGTATATAAGTACAGGTAACACAGTGGAAGTCTCAAGACACAGTTGTGAAAGATAAGTTACCTGTTAACTTCTATCACCACCTCTTCTTCTAGTTTGGACTTCTCTTCATTGCTCAGATTTTCAAAGCCGTCATGGAATGTAGAAAGGTAACTGGAGATAAAGTGAAGCTGGAAGGCAAGTAAGCAACAGAGTTACAACTCTGTCTCAAGACATATTCACTTCTCGAAGAATTAGACAGGCTTTTTAATAAGTTGTCATTTATTTTTTCCAAATATCAACAGTGCTGGAGTTAGCTTTAAGATTAATGGTGGTTCTACTAATTGCTTGCAAGTCTGGTTTAAGAAAGCCATAACATCAGGACCACAGAAGACACACTGATACTGCCAACTAATTTCATAGCTGCAGTCCACAACTGCTGGCCTTTCCGTGGTGGATAGCCACATGGCACATAGCAAGTGTTTTCTCTTGAATAGCTAATATGAAGTTTCTATGATTTGTAAAGCAAAGGTGGTCAGGATGACAAAGTGTTATATTTAAGGAACTCATGAAGGAAAGGTCTTGGGAGAGAGCAAGTCCAAAACAGAATCAGAAGAGACTGTTAAGATTTGAAAACTGTGGACACTGGCATTTTATTAATTATGACTTCTGTGCCTACCTGTTGCTGCTTTGAAGGATATTTAAAAACACTGGCTTTGAAGAATGGGTACTTCTCATAGGTGTAATCATACATCCATTCACAGAAGTGATTTCCAATGTCAAATCCTCTGAAAAAGAGATAAAGACTGAGTACCTCAGTATTTGCATACTAGCAATCTGGTTTTGCTTAAGCAAATCTAAAAATCAAGGGTTAGAATTAACTGCAGTTTTGCTAAAGGAGGTAAAGGGTTGATAACTTCAATACAAGTTTTTCGCAAGTTACTAAAATCAATTAGTAAAGGTGGGCAGTTCAGAATGAAAGCTACCAGCTACATGAAAATACTAGACTTTGCTACCAAGTTTTGTACCAATGGAGACAGTTAAAATACTTGGCCATGTACTACATCTCAGAACAGAGTCAGACACATCTCTAACATTAGCATTACTGCAGGCAAGGAGGTCACACTCAAAGTATTTTTAACATATCCACTTTCACATTACTGGAATTCAGGGTTCCATTATGCTCCAGCTATGCTAACTTTTAATGATCCCAATGACTCAACACACTTAGATCATCCTTAAACACAGGTACTAGATGACTGAGGTAAGAACAGAAAGCATTCTGTGAAACTACATAGTAAAACAGCTAGTACTACTCATCTGCACAGATGGAAAAGCCATTTGAAAGGACTGAAGGAAAAAATGCAAAACTGCCCTACACGGCTATGTACACACACAATCTACCATTCTCCTCATCTCCCTACTAGAAAGAAATTTCGACATGCAAGCAAGAAGCCATTTGTGCTTAAACAAGCCCTCTACTCTGGATCACCAAGGAGCTCCAATAACCGAGTCCGCTCTATGCCTATACGCAACATCATTGGGACCACAGCTGTTTTGACTAGTTGTATTTGCTGTCATCACTAAGAGCAGAATACAATTCACAGGAACAGACAAATAATCAGCAGTGTGGCACTTGCTCTCACTGTAGCACGTAGAAAGTAATACACTTTCCTGCTGAATGAAAAAATATTTACCGGTAGTTATAGCTGCTGTATTCGAAGTCAATGAGCATCAGCTTTTGGTTTTCTGAATTCTCTCTGCCTTCCAGAAGCAAGACATTACCTGAAATGTTTAAGATAATATGGCATATTCAATAAAGTCCCGGAAAAGTTACAGAAAAGTAAAACTCTATCTTAAGAAACATTGTTCAGATAATCCCAGTTATCCTTTAATCTGTGCAGAAGAATGATAGGAAAAGCCATGTTGCACTGGCTGTATACCAGTTCACTGAAAGCTGAGATATATACTATGAAATTTGTAAAGCTGAAAGCAAGAAAGTCTTCTTCTGTACAAGCAGAGGCAGATTTTGTTCTCCCAAGCGTCCTGCTTCTCCAGTGTTGGGTTTGCATCTAACTCAGGTGACACTCAGCCTTAGCAGCCCTTACAGAGTTGTTTCTTTCCACAGCTTAAGATCTAAATTATGCAGTATCTCTCGCATCTGCATAGCACTATCAGTCATCACACAATGCTTGGGACAGGAATAGCTTTTCGGCAGCCACCAACTGTTCACTTTGCTCTTCTAGTACGTGGCACAACTGGTACCTATGGAAAAGCTCAGCCTTTTCCTTTATAACAGGAAGATAGCTTTATCTGTCTTTCAATTCACTTTGCCACTATAATTCATCTGAAAGACATCAAGTCTGCCTCTATGAAGTGCCAACTAGCAAAGAAATTTAGAGTAATTTCAATCTCTGCAACAGTTTGTCCCCTTTCCACAGGTGTATCTGCTCTCTATGCCACACCCCTGCATCAATAGAACAAGCAGAGTTTCACCCTCCCACACCCCTGCCTTAGAAGTTTAGGTTCCAAAGCTTGCCCCAGCCTTATCATGCTCTGACTCCTCCAGTACTGCACCTTGCCACACCAGCAATGAGACCTCAAACTCCACCACTACTGAGCGAGCCCTTCAGACCTCAGATCAGTGGCTTCTTCCCCTCGTGCTGCCTATCCTCCAGGGCAATCCTCTTCCAGGTTGATTCCTCAGCCTTAGCTAACAAGGCTGGGACTCCTGAGAACAGAACAGCCCTGCATATAGTCCTAGTAGAGCATCCTTCCAGCTCAGTCCAGCTTACCCACCGTACAGGTGACAGGCAGCACAAACGCAGCATATCCAACACCTTCAGCCCTGATTCCTTTTCATCTCTTTAGAGAACTGGCTCAGAAAAATTGTTATCCCCCCCCATGACTCCCACAGAGAGTGCACTAAAAAAAGGAGCATAAGGTTTTCCTAATGTTTCTTACCAGTACAAGCTGAGAACTGCCAAGTCAAACAACCCTCGTCTCCATTTTCACGATTCACTGTACTTTTTCCTATCTTTCTTTTAAAAGGACTAAAGTATATCCTACCTCAATCATATATTGCAGACAGCTAAGAAAGGTATAGAAAACACCCAAGGCTCCCATCATCAACTGACTTGTTTTCCTGGTTTTAGCTGGGACAGAGTTAGCTCTTCTTTTTAGCAGCTAGAAGAGCTCCGTGTTTTGGTTTTACTCAGAGGCTCGCTCTGAGAAGAATGTTGATAGCAAGCTGATGTTTGTGGTTGGAAGTGAGACTCCAAGGACTTTTCAGTGTGCCGGAGTGCAGAGGCACGGCGGGATAAGGGGGGAGCATAGCGGGGACAAGGGGGACACGATTCCCCTTGTGATTTGTGGTGCAACTTAAGATTGAGGGCAAAACTGGCCAATTAGTATTCCATATCATGCAGCGTCATGCCCAGTATAAAAGTGAGGGGCAGCCAGAAAGAAGGGCTTTTTTTGTGCTTTGGCTCTTTTGCCACTTTTGCTCTTTTGCGCTTCTGCACTTCTGCTCTATTGCCTTTTTCTCTCTCTCTCTCCCAGTACTCCCAACTCTTGGAGTATTCTCTCTCTCTGCCCCTCTCTCTTTCGGGGCCTCGCGTTCGTCCAGGATTGCAGCTTCGGGACGAGACGGGCTTCGCATATGAGGGAGTGGTGAGCATCTACACTGTGTATTAAATCATCTGTATTAAATTGTTCTTATCTCAACCCACGGGTTTCCCGTTTATCCTTTAATTCTCTCCCTCATCCCTGGGGCTGGGGGAGGGTGAGTGAGCGACTGTGTAGGGTTTGGTTGCCAGAGCGGCCTAACCCACGACACTTGTGCTAACAGAGCAGGTGTACCTGCTTGGCTGAATCCAGTTGCGATACTAGACACTCTCTGGTTAGCCTGACGGGCTGCTGAAGCCAACACACTTTGCCTCACAAGTGTTGCACACCAGGAGTGCACAGGCTGCTGTTTCAGGTCAGCTGCCAGGGCAGCACCTCCATAATGTGACCATCTCTCAGAACGCAAACGAGTGACCACAAAAGGCTTAACACTGCATCATTGAACGAGGTCATGATATACTAACAGCTTACCTTCTTGACAGTCATTGTGGCAAAATACGACTGGTGAGGAAGTAGCTTCAAGCAGAGCTCTAGAAAACAGCAATACAGGATCTTGTAAGTAACAAATCACTAAGTTCAGCTCCACTGCCAAGTAAATAATGGATTTTGTTGTAAGAATTTGATGCACTATTCATTTCTGTTAAGACCCTGAACCCATGATCAGGTCAATGAAGCTGGACTTCACCGATCAACAAGTCAGACCAGCAACTGATCACATCAATCTGTAGTCTTATGAGGCTCAGGTTGGTTACAGAACCAAAAATAATCCTCAGCTTGTAAAGTAAAATGAATATAAGGTATTATACTGTATGATGTGTTTGAACAAGCATAAAAATTCAAAGTGAAACTGTGCAAACTGTAAGACAGTAGTAGATGAAATAAGCCTACCTTAGATTTTTCATTTCCTGGGGGAGATTGTAACTCAGGAGTTTGTTCAGTTTTCTAGTTCTGGATTCCCTGGTAAATTTAATCCTCAGCACTTGATTTAGATACCTGTTAAAAATAGAGACAACAGTACAGCATTCGTGACAATAAGTATGCTAGTCTTCTCATAGTAAGATACCATTTAAACTGAACAATCAATAGAGTTTGAAAACAGGAGCTACTAAAGAAAACATTACTATTCTTCAAGGTAATTTAAGTTCCTCAAGTAACTATGAAACAATTTCTGGGTACAGTGAGAGCTTGTGCTCTCAGGCTTTCAGGAAGAAAGACATGCTTGTCAAAACTACAACAGGTCACCTTTTTGCCCTACTTTCAAGTATTGCATAACTTACTTTTCCATTGTTCCAAAAAGCCACTTTGGTTCTTTATTAAACGGCATTCTCATGCCATGAAATCTAGCCATCTTCTCAGCTATTTCAGCAGATATGTCAGGTAAGCTTAGTTCTTCAGTACTTAGTTTCCTGCTCTGTAATAAAATACAGCATTCTTAAAAAACAGTTAATTGATTAATTACAGAAGTGCATTAGTCTCTATATAGTACAGTGTAAAACACTAGCATAGTACTCAAGCAACACACTCTTTTCATCCCAAATGAACTCACAAAATCGCTGTCTTTGGAAAACCTAGGTTGGCCAGCTTAGCTTACTTACACCTTAGTCAATTCTCTTCTAGATCAAGACCTGGGGAATATCACATCTCACACCAAGAATATCTTCAAAGCGGACTGGGTATAAATACTTAAGAACATCAAAAGCATCTGCTCTTGTTGCTGTTAAAGGGAAGTGTTACTCCGTAGCTTCCAATGCTATGTTTGGTATCTAACAGGCTTTTTATCTTCATTTATTAGTCTCTGCTACAGCTGAAGAGTTTTTAGATATCTCTCCCTGGCAAGAGCTATAATTGCGCTCTCCAACACCCAGTATAACCATATCAAATTACAGCTAGCAATTACTACAGGCTGCCAAGTATTCCATTCCCACATCCCTGCTTTTCTGGGCAGTCCAGAGATCTTCTTGTCATGATCAATTAAAACAGCTACCAGCAGCCCACTAACTAATCACGAACGGGACTTACGGGAATGAATTCCTCCAGTCGCCCTTGTGGAAAGATTCCATACAGCTTTGGGCCAAGAGCTCTCTCTGCAAGAATGGCAAACATAACACTTTCCAGAACCATGGCTTCTGCCCCCTACCAAAAAAAAAATTAAATTAAAGCATTAGTTGGTGCTTGCATAGAAATGAACTTAGGTGTGCACAGTAGCTAAACTGGTAAGAAGTGGGAAATTGTAGCTTTAAAAAGACAACATTGTACTAACCAAATTTTCTTGACTACTAACAACTCGTAGTTAGCATGAGTGTAACACAGATGTTTTGCTTTCAAGATTAAAGCTGGGCAAAAAAATCTGTATTACTTAACAGGTACTATTGGTGGGCCAGGTCAAAGGAAAACTATGTAAAAACCAAAACACTGTCTCCTCCCTAATCTGTGGGAACTCTGCAAATTCGTTTCCTGAAGGAGTTTATCCTACTGAAGCATAGTACAGGAACTATAAATGTTATCCTTGGCTACCTGAACACACTTTGGAACACTGCCTCACAAAAGGACATTTTAACTATGCAAGTGAATGAAGTGAACTGAACTAACCAGTTTTTAATTTTGAAAAATGATTTAGGATTTGTTTCCATTAAGCACATTTTATGTCTTTTTAAAAAAAAGATAAATTTGCTGCTAAGGAGCATGCGTCACAATAAACATTCTTCCTTTCCTACCTCCAAGCATATCTCAAGTTTCAATAACTTTTCTTCAAGTCCTTCCTTACATCAATAAACTCAATCCATCACATTCACAAGCAGATAGCTTTTTAATATGCATGTTTAAAAATTAATAGAAGTATGAACTATGTCTCAAAAATACAGTTAAAAATCACTGAAGCATAGCTTTCTTGATGAGTAAGATTAGCTGTAGGTAAACACAGAAGCCACAGTATAAATCACTACTTCTAGCAATTATGTTAACCAGAATCCAGCTGTACTCAAATCACAGAGGTCTGCTAAGTCTCTGCGTACTTTTGAGCAACTTATCTCAAAGTCTGACCTGTGACACTTTAAAGCATAAGAGTTAAGAGCACAAAATTAAGAAAGCTCTCAGATATTTCAGACTGCAGAGCTTTTCCCGTTACTGTAGTCACTGCCATCTCAGACAGTAAATAACTCTTTCTGTACAAATTCCACTCTTGAGTACACTCCAGGCAGTTCCGCTCATAAATTATTTTTATTACCGGACCACACGTTATTCTGGCATCTTCAAGAAATTCTAGCATTTCATACTGAAGTGTAGGAAAGACTCATTAACTATATTCTGAAGCGTTAACTTCAATAAAAAGTAAAGAGTCATCAAGAGTATCAATTGAGAGCTCAAGACAATTTGCATACAAATGTATTTCATCTACCTCCTCCACTGTTTTTCCATCTCAACTCTTTGAAGCAGAACTAATGCACCAAAAATAAGTGCTTTTAATCATTTCACATGCCCACACCACCACAGATCTGAACTTTGCAGTTCAGTTCTGAAGCCTAACGCCAAACACCAAAAACCAAATTAAACACAGGTTACTGAATGTCTACTCTATTATTAGGCAACACCGAATTTGTCTGCGCCTGGTACAACACCAGAGTGCTTTAACAGTCTGATTAGAGCAATCCTGTTGGCTGTTCCCATTAAGATGTTAGTTCCTTGTTTTCATATCTTACTGAAAAAACAACAGGAAGTGCCAAAGAAGTGTTCTTCATTAAGATGTCCCTTAATGCATCAGAAGCGACAACCAGAAATAGTGGTATTTCCAATTACTCAGCAGTGCACTCCTGGGTTACTGCTGTCACATCACTGCCTAGTCCTTTAAGACATGCTCAAGAATTTGGAACCTTCTGATGACCCACAACTACACGATTGCAAGTTGGTAAACCTCTGTGTCAGCAGTGTTGACAAGGATGGCTGCATCTCTCCATGAAAGATCTGCTCCAAGATTAAAAAGTGCAGGCAAATATTATTTAAAAGCAGCAGTATAAGAATATTCAAGTCTGAATGCTCTGGTGCCTGACTCCAGAGCACCAGAAGAACTTCCTCTACTGTAACAGAATGCTCACTTTAGAACAAGTCCAATGAGAGCTTTGGAATAATACTATCTATGTATCTCAGGCACAACGGCTTCTCCTTGATAACACCTGATGGACCTTTTACCAAGTCTCCACTCCATGCAGTACTGTCAAGTGTAGGTGTGGAAGTAAACTACTAAAGGACATTAGAAAATCCTATAGCATACTTCATACAGACACTGAACAAATCCAGGTGGCAACTCTTCCAGCTAGTGAACCGTTACATGTTCACCGGAGGACTTCTTTAAAGGATGAAGCATGGTGACTAAGTAAATTATGTACCTCAATGTCTTCGCATACTTTGCAATGTACTTACACTGCCAAGACAACTGTTGTTTTAAGCTCTGAAGCTCTCAAATTTAATAGTTTCCAAACAGGTGTAACATGAGCACTTGTATTAAAAACAAGCTTCTGGAGAAGACTTGATGACCACTTACAACTTAAATGAATACTTAGAGCTGAACGTTGCATTTCTAACCTACCTTCACAAGACTTTTCTAGTATGCAACTCCCATTCAGGCAAGGAGAGATCAAAAGCCATACTACACTTCAGTTGGAACCAAAGCTTCTGATTATCCTTGCTTCAGCAAAAAGCTTGCTATAAGCCACATGAAATAGGGGTAATTTTCTTCAAAATATTACTAACTATAGCAAAACCAAGACAAAACACAGATAATCCCTGTTAAAAGACCTTATGAGCAGGTAGAAGACTACCCCATCTTTAGTCACAGCTGTCAAACAACAAGCAACTCACAACTGCTACAACGCTTTCACTAGTGGTCCAGAACACTTTGGGATTACCCAGAGGTTTTTCTTCTCTCCAAAGGATGGCATTAACTTCTCTGATCAAACTTTAGCTACGTTTTTTTTACACAGACTCGAGAAAATTAACAAATCCATCCTGACAGGAATTCTTGAGTACACTGATCCAATGGTGCAGTTCCAGCACTGTGAGATTAATAGCAGAAAATAACCTAACAGCACAGAATCACTATTTTCAGGCAACAAATGAAGACAGTTCTGAAGTTCAACGCCTTTCTTCCTATACTACAAAACTTCTATAAGCTGCTAGTACCAGGGTGGGGCTTGTCTGGATTTTTTTTTTTCTTTTACAGCTTTAGGAACTTTTTTACTGGGTTGGGGTGGGGGGGGTGTGGAGAAAAAAAAAAAAAAAAAATCAAGCCACCTCCATTTTTCATCTCTGAAGAAAACTGAGGAATCAAATCAGTACATTTTTCAGTTCAGTCTTGATTCAACTGATTGAAGCTGTCCCAGTAAATTAAAGGGAAAGTTCAGCAACACTTCAAAAGCAGTCATTCAACAAAAAAATTTAAAACCAGTTTCAACGGGGAAAAAAAAAGCTTGAACTCTTTCAGACAGCATTCCCAGAAGGCAGGAAATACAAGGGGAGAAAAGCAGCACTAACCAAATGAGTAAAATGCACTTATCCCTAACCACTGCCAAAACCATTACAGAGCTGAAGGAGACAGGACATAAACAAGCAGAGCATCTGGCTAACATGCTGGAATGTTATCCTTTACTGAAAAATTACACTCCGCTAAACATTATGCTGCATGAGCAGAAATCATGCCAAATGCAAGAACTTTAAAGCTTGCAGAACACAGATGATCCAAGCACAACTCTAATCAGAAACACTCCGTGCTCAGGAGGAAGTTCTCTCCAGCTCCATATACTTCAATGCATCATAAGATATGGATTAGGTAAAGCGGAGCACTGATCTTCCTCTACTGAAGAAAGCCTAATATTAGAAATAGCAGTGCCAACACCAATGTTAGACATGGCAAGAAACCGTTTAGGTTAGAACTGGAGGGGTGTTTCTTCTAAGTGCAGAATGCTTAAATCTTTCCAAACTGTGTACAGGCACACATATCACAATGTTACTTCTATGAGCAAACTGATTCCTTTTCTTCATGACTGTTTATGGTTTTAAGAAACACAGCCCAGACACCAGGCAGAGTAATTACAGGTTCTGAACAAGCAGAATCACATTTCTCTATCATCTACAAAATTCTGTGACATAAGCAAATTTAATTACTCACTTGCAAGCCATTCTCCTCCTGAGACTGTACAGACTCTCCTTTATTACAGGACCTCTATGAATGAGAAGAAGCAAACACAATGAGAAGATGAAATTTAACATGATTAACCTGCAACCACCAGAACAAAGGGAGCAGAAGTGCCAGCTACAATTAACTAGCTGTCTCAACACTGTCTTGATCTCTGACAGCTACCGCACTAGTATCCATCTGACCACCACACTACTTCAGCAACTCCAGAATCTTTCAAAAGGATGTGCCACTGAGATGTGCCATTGAAACAATGACACAACAAGCTCAGAGGAATGTTTCTAATTAAGTGAAAATTAAATCCCTCTGCATGACATCTGGGATGATATTCTTCTTGCAGCTAAAGCACTTGAGATACATCAGAGATTAAATAAAAGCCTTAGAAAAGGCACGTTAAGAAGCTTGCAAGGCACTTGCTTTTTTTCTATTTTCTAAATTTCCTGTGTATAGAATTACTTTACTTACACTATACTATCTAGGCTACATGTATAATGTATCACTGGCCATGCAAATCCAAGATTTTTTTGCAAATGACTGCCCATGTAAGATAAAGACGTTTCAGTGAGAACTGCAGTTATACTAGTGAAACTTTAACAAATGCTATGCACAACATATCGTGCTGGGATTGTGATCAGTCATTATAAATCAGTTTCAGAGTATCAAACCATATGCTCAGAACTGAACCCCCAATGGCACATGCTTTCAGAGCTGCACATTTAAAATTCAAGATGTAATAAAAACCTTGTCCTTTAAAGGGCTTGAAGGTAAGGAGAGGAGAAAGCAAATATTTGCTTAGACTTAGCGACAGTTTGTGGCTGCTATTTATGTTGCAATTCCACCATTGACTGTTTAAACCAGACTAGCTTTAGAGGCCCATAAAGGTAGCCTGCATCTCCACCTTCCGAATGAAAACATTTGATTCATAGAAACATGTGCATACCTTTCTGTTCCAAAGCTCTAACATGTCCAAAACAAGGGTGGAAACATGAACTTAATGGAACACAGTTAAGCAACACCAGCTGCCTTAGGTACAATACCACAAGCTAATGATTTACACAAGCTATGCAGTTACAGTATTTCAAGAAGCTATAGAAGAAGCGTAGTTAACGTGAATCGATGGTCTTTCAGGAAATACTTCCCATTCCACTAGGATAAGAAGTTTAAAGCATGACAATATGAAAACTACTATTAGCTTATATTCCTTTCAAGGAAATTAACATCATCAAAACGTATTCACTAAAGCTAAACGTGTAACTACTCAGTAGTATTAAAGTCATTTACAGAGGGCTTCTCTGAACAAGCATGTCCTACATCAATCCCGCTCTTGCATCTTACAGATTTTTCTTGAACAGTCAGAAAGTTACTCACCATCCAGGAGTCTTTCCTGATTAATGGTGCTCTCAGAATGGTTCAGTTCATCAGAAGGTAAGCAGATTAGGCTTTTCCCTAGAACCTGAACTGGCATCCACTTTCTAGAAGTCATACTGTATGAAGAGCTAGCCAGTTGCAAGAGTCCACCTCAAATTAGTGTTGAGATAGCCTAATGGCATCTACTGTGCCATCAGAAAGAGACAGTTAGGGATGTGTACTGCAGAGTCATCAGAAAAGGAGACTTCTGCAGTATCCCTTCCTCTTTTCTGTTCCCTCAGCATGGAGCATTAGTGTCCAGAGGAGAATGAATACAAAGTAATTTGTAAATAACTTGCAAAAAGGAATGGGAGCTTGGAGAGGATCAGTCTTCACAAGTGGCCATGTAGTCAGCCTAGAATTAGAAGCCTCCAGTACAGGTGGTCAAGGAGAGTGAAGTAAGCAGGATGCAGTTTTATGTAACAGCAGTTTAAGAGTTCAACTCTAAGAGTTTAACAGATGCTAAAATGGTGTGATTTGATTGTTTTCTAACTGCATAATCACCTATGAGAACAGTGGTTCAAAGCAAAACATCTCATACCCTGAGGTATCTGATCTACACATCTAGCTCACGTGTTCTCGGCTAAACCAGTGAAGGCTTCAGTTCCTCCATAAACTCTAATAGCTCACTCCAATTTATGTCCAATTCTGGGAGCTGTTTACTTCAACAGCAACAAGATGATTTTAAGCAAGTAAGAGAATGATTGAATAACTGCTGGAGGTTTCTAATCACTCTCTCTATGGAAATATTAACTAGAAATGGACACATGCTCTACATCTTTAATATCTGTACTGTGCTTCTTTTACTGTGGGAAGCTTTATCCTCAGAGCAGACCAAGGAATCTCACTACAATTTTAGTAAGGGGAGACAGCTATAGATAGGCACAGAGACAACAGGAGTTGATAGAGAGCCTACCTGGCGACCCTGTAAATTGATTTTAAGACAGGAAGTCTCAGGTATAAGATGAAAGTCCTAGAATGGGAGACATTACACATCATCTGATCTGAGATCAGAAGATGACCAGACAGTGTTTATACATCTGGCAGCTTGACACAGAAAATCGAGTTCTTCACCATTTTCTTCCTAATGATCCAAATGTATTTCTCTTGTAGCTAGATGAGCTTTGTATCAAAAATCCCAAATGATGCTTGGCAGAATTCTGTATGGAGGAGGAACTTGCAGCTTTTTTCCCCAAATAACCCTTAGGTCTGCCCACAAATTTAAATCTCACATTATAACTCAATTTTTCTGAGTTTACTCAGCTTTAGTAGTTTTCAAGACTTCAAAATACTGCAATACTTCAATTCAGACGAATCCCTAGGAATTCCAACCCCTGAGGAATTACAAGGAACTTTACAATTTACTTTACAATTACATTACAAGGAACTGCCTGAGAGGTTAGAGGCAATCTATGCAGGCAAAACTTTTCTTAGTTCTAGAAGCTGTTGGAAGACATTGATTTGAACTGCAGGGTATGAGAACACAAACAGTTTTAGATTCAGCAATAACTATTTCTGCTTCTAAGAATCTGCCATTGATCACTGATCCCTACCAGAGCTGAAGGAAATGATACTAATTTGCTGAAGTCCTGGAATCTAGCATGTGAAGAATAATTCCCAGTTCAAGCCCTACAAAAGCCACAAAGACATCTCCAATCCTCTTCATTTCAAGTTACCATTCTCTTATGAGGGAGCAGAGGAAAGGAAGGGGCAGTACTTTGATATTTTGTTATTGCTGTAAACATTCAGATGCACAGACAGTAGCTGGTGCTACTTAAGCTTTATTTTTAAACAATGAAATCCAGTACTAAAGAAAACGAAAGCTGTAGAGAATGCTCCAACTTCAGAGATCTCATACTATACCGTGAATCGTGTCTGTCACCTGGAAACCAGAGTGCTCTAGGCACGATCGCATGGGCAAGCCTGCAGCAGAGAACACATGCATATACAACTAAAGTGGTACATTACCCCCAGAACACCCTTAACTCCACCCAACACAAATACATCCCCGTAAGAGGTGCTTGGTTTCTCTCAAGCCGTCTGCCAGTGCCAGGGATTTGTAGTTACTCCATGCTACAAACAGACATGGACACCAACAACCACAGAAGACGTTGATAATTACAGTTACACAGCAGTCTGCATTTTATTTAGTTACAAAAAATAAAAGGCAGCAAGGCAGGTATGGAAAAGAGACTTACCACAGAACTGTGGCAACCATTTACACTTATTTTGCGTCTGCTCACACAGAAGTTGAGAGACCAGAGAGGAACATTAGGTATATTGGTTTGTTTTTCCTCATTTATATACAAGATTTTGTTTTGGTTGTTGCCAAGTTAACAGAGCCTCAGTGAATCAGAGTTCAAGGTTCTTTTGACATGTGTAAAAGAAGGGGAATCAATCCCCAAGTTATCTTTTTATAAGTGAACTTCAAACAAATCCACCTTAATTTGAGTTTTTGTTGATGCTATCTTATGTCGAAATCCTATCAACATTTCTGAGATGTGGGAAGTTTTGGTTGTTCTGAATTTAAGTAGAAACACTGCAGTGATCTGCACATGAAATCTGATCTTAAAGTCTGGACATTAAACCGTACATTGTTGGAAAACTTTGTTTCCATTGTTTTAACACTGATATAGCCAACAGTTAAAGACATTTTGTCATGAAGAGGTTTTACTTTAAATGCTCCCCTTTAAATTTAGCAACTAAGCTGGAGCAAGAATAAGTGGAGTAAGACACTTCTGTCTTTTCAATGTAGAACATATCTGCATTGTGCCTCAAACATTTGAGTTTTAATGTGGTTAGTACTTTTAACCTGTCACAAGCACAAATACTTGTCTTAAAAAAAAAAAGAGTTCTGCTCAAGGATATACTCAAGAGAAGTCCTTGATTTTTAAACATCCATGCCAGTGCGACCATTCGTAACAATGGCCAAGTCAGCTCAGTTCATCTCCCCCCATCTCCCCCCAAAACAGTCATGCACACAAGAAATTGCCTTAAACATATCAGCTATGACAGAAGAAGGCACAAAGCCTTCCCTGTGTGGCAGCTTTAGCCAACTGGCATGGTTTATATTGGATGAGTTTCATGTACTGACATTTGTGTCTTCCAAGATTCATAATAAGCAAACTGGGGCTATTTTCAAACTGCAAAAACAAGGTTCCTTTAAAAGGTGGCTCAAAGAATTATGGTGCCAGTATCATTCATTCTTAAGTTAGTATCAGGTGTCTATTTTTCACTTCTATTAAAAATTTTAGCTTAAACTTATCTTTTGCATGCACCACAATTTGGTATAGATTGCTACAGATCCATAGTATTTACAGTGAAGGAATAAGAAGAGCTGGTATTATTGTTTTGTGCTCCAATTCCAACAGAAAGTAAAATGGACAAGAGTTAAAACATGCTACAAAAGGCTCAAACAAACAAGTGGTAACTACTAATACCCAGTGGCAGTTACAATTAAGTCATTGAGAATTAAGTTGTGATTTTAGCATAAGTTCTCAAAATTGAACTTAAGCAGTATCTCAATTTCTACAGGGCTTAACTTAAGCAACATCACTAAAAAAATATCAAATTACTCCTTCTTAACAGGCTTGTCGTAAGATTCTGCTTACGCCACCCAGAAATTCTTAAGAATCCTAAGCAAGGTTTTCAAAATACCCCAGTAAAACAGTTTGCTTATATTTTAACTTGCATTTAAAGTAGAGGGGCTGGAAGAGACAAATGTTTGTCGACAAAAAATTGTGAACCTCAATGCAATCTGAAAGTTTTACCTTGGGACTTTCTCTGCTTACTTAACCTTTAGTGAACTGCACCAACAAGAGCAGTCATTTCACTGCCACTATGGAAATAAAGGAAGTTAGACATCTCAAAAGATCCTTCAACACCAAGAGTAGAAAGGTTAGAAAGTTACGAACACACTTTCAATTTTCAAACCGAATTAGTTGTGATTTTAGAGCCCAAAATTTCATTTTGATTCCTTCAGTGGATAGGGGTACAGAAAGGTAAGTTAAAAAACCCTGAGGGAAGAGGAGGGCAGCCAAATTCTGGAGTCTACTTGACTTTTCCTTTGAAATGTAAGGGAAAGGCCACATTTCTTCACAGCTCTTGGGCAACAGAAGTTTATCACTACAGCAGTTTTACAGCCCATGTTCCTACTCCAGCCTTCTACATATTAAGTCAGTATTACATTAAAACCATTAATAATTCTGAAAGAAATTCTTATCATCAACCCTGGGAGTCATTTTGAAAACAAAGTTTCTTCCGCTTTGCTTTTGGTTTCTCTTAAACTAAAGCAAAGACTATTTAAGCTTGAATTAATGAACTTCTACACACTTTTCTTGTTTAACAGTTCAACTTTCCCAACACACATATGGTGGCGTAGCCAAGCATTTCATGCCATTTCAAACCACTGGAATCTCTTACGCATTTCTGGTCAAGTTTCTTACCGCAGGAAAGTTCCTGTATACCTCTCAGAGTATAACAAAACAACAGTTTAAAGCCAGGTAAGTGACAGTATCCAATGAGATTTTTTTTTTAACAGTAAGTTTGGTCAAGGCAGCAAAAGCAGGAAGAATGGGCTGAAATTTCAGGAACATCCAAACTCTTGCAGATATTGGATCAGTTATTCAAAGCAAGTGACTGAGTACTGGAAAATATCAAATTAATGGATAATAAAACCAGACCCTCTAAGTCAAATAGAGACAACTGTCAACATTCAAATGTAATTTTATGAAACTGTAATTTTTCATAAGTTTAAACACTTATGATTACTTATTTACAATATAATCAAGTGTCTAGCAGAGATGGGTAAGAGAAGATCTGCTGTACGGTCCTACAGTGACAGCCTGTAAGCTTTAGAAGAGATCGCCTTTACAAAATATTCTTGATTTTAAACCTTACAATTTGAAACAGATTTACCAACTGCTTCTCTTAAGGATTGACAAATTTCAATGCTATTTACATTTTACTAATGGAATAAAAGAAAAGTAACATTAGAAGAGACCAACATCTGGTTAAACTTCTATGCCAGCTGCAAGGCATATCACACATTTAGGAAAGTATGTTTTGGAACGAGACGGCTGTACTGTATTCATGTTTGTGCTTCATTTTTATTCTAACACTATAGATCAAATTTTCCAGCATCATGATTACCCAGGAGATCTAATAAAATGCTTGAGCACTGTACGAGTTTGACAAAACCTTCACCTTCAATCTCCAAGATTCATAAGTGCTACCAAGATTAATATAATGCAGTTTAGTCTCTTACAGTCTTGCTAGCAATGCCAAAGTCCTACCTACTACACAGAAGCAAGCTTGAATAACTTCTCTGAAACACCACAGTCCAAACTTAACACTATAAACAAAACATTTATGATCAAACAGACAGCAAACGGGTCTTCAGCTGATACGCACCAGTCAAGATCTGTATAGGAAGGAGTGTAAGTTCTAGACAGTAACAAACTATAAAGAAAACTGCTTTAAGATAGCAAGCTTCCCCACTGCCACTAAAACACAATCCCCAAAGGATAAAGCAGCACACAGTTGCAGTGTGTCACAAATGAAGATCTCCAAACGTATTACAATTAAGCTACAGAAACCCTCCCACTCCCAAAGCACGCTACGTACTCACCATCTGCAGGATGGCACCATACAAGCGCAGGAGAACTTTCCGTGGTTCATCTGCAACTGTCTCAATGGTATCAGGTAGCGAGCACTGAAACAGCATATTGCTGAGGCCACCTCTATCAACAGAAAGGTAAGTTTAGGATGAGCATACATGTTTCATTTTCGACAAATTAGAGGTGCACTAATCCTGTTAGTACAATTAGCTGATCTACTCTAACATGAGAAACAATTTTCCAACAATACTAATAACTCGTAACATATAAGGCTTCCATAAAAAAATTGGGAGTTTCATGCTTCGTAATGTATAGTTCACCATCAAGATCTATTGATCCAAACTACAGGTCAAGCTGTGAACAAACTGATGTAAGATGCAATAGGCAATTAAAATAAGACATAGACTTCTATTAACTTAATTATTTTCAGGACTTCTAGAAAGCGATGCTGGAGTCTTGTTAGATATACTTGGTTGTACAAGCAAGCAAGACGACAGCAGAAAAAGCTTAAAACCATGCAGTGAGTATAAAGCCCTAAACCTGAATTACGAGCTGGTATCACTGGGATGGCAGCTACAAAGATTAGCTACAAAGATTTAACCTGAATACCTGTGCTACAGCATCACTGAGGAAAGCCTTACTTATGCTATCACTCCTAGGTACTCGTTTTGAATTTTGAAATTTACAACCAAAGCAGTTCTTTAAAACAAATAAATTGCTCATATATTTGTCAAAACTAAAGTCACCCTTGGAGTCTTACCAGGTAAGATACAAACTAGGGAGTCCTGTGCTTCAGTCATTCAGGGGTTACACAAGCATGCTGGCTTTTCAAATAATCACCATTTCATAATGGTGTTCTTACAGGAAAAAGCAACAGTATTTGTCTTCTACAGGTTTATCAAGCTAGAGAAATACTAGATTAGAGAAGCTAAGTTTTTTGATTTCTAGCAGTCCACTCAACTCACATTTTCTTTACTACATTGTCTTTCTGCATCCTCTTCATTATCAATATATTAATCAGTAAGCTTTCAAATTTCCCTTCTACAATACATTTTCCCTATTACTACTTCTTTTATAAGAGAAAAAAGGTATTGAAGCACCTGGTCTACTTGCAAAACAGAAATTAAAATCTGCTCTGCTGAAAAAAAATCTTGTCTGTCTCACCATTAAAGAAAGAACTTTCAAAACCAGACACAATCCAGCTAAGAGTAGCCAGCAGTAAAGGCATGAGGTGGCACAGATTTAAAAAGTAAGTAATTTTACTTGTAGCACGCTACATAACTTACTGCAGTAATTCTAGAATTTAAATAGTAGTACCTCTGGCACATTGTGAGTAATGCAGTTTTTCCGTAACACCCAAACCAAAAGTATTTAGTATTACCTTGCAGTGAGCTCTGATCCCAGGAATCCTTAACAGATCCAAAATGCAGTTGCTAAAATGCAGTTCTTAGTCCTAACCTGACACTCATATTGATGCTTTTTCAAACATTTTTCTGGGTTCTCTTACAACGTAGTAGGGAAGTAGTTAAGACTTTCTGGAGAAAAAGGCTACCAAGAAGTAGGTGATCTGTACATATTTACTAGGAGACGATGCAGAGAAGAAGGGCCAGCCTACATATCAAAAGTCAATGACTGAGAAGGAAAAAAGAAATCTCAAGAAAATCGGGTAAAACAGCAGCTGCACAGTATGCTCAAGAAGGAAGACAGAAGAGAACCGGGTGGCTTGGCAGGCATCCAAAAAAGGATGGTTAGCAATAAGAGAGATGAAGTAACTTTGAACCATGAAAATGCACAGGTAGAAAAAAAAAAAAGAAAAAAACAGATGGCCGGAAAGTATATCAAACTAAGAGCAAAACCAGACTATTCAAATGCAATCAGAGCATTGGTTAGTTACACCAACTACACTTCCAGCTCCATTTAAACTGTGCTAGACAGTTTTTTTGAAAAACATTTGCCACTTTTTCTAAGTCTCTGATAAAGATTTTGGTGAAGATAACCAATACTGAAATAGAAGAACTAAACACACTGAAACTCACTTTACAGAAAATACCAGACTAGAGCTCAAAATCCTGTACCAACAGTTATGTTACTTATTTAAATACATTTGCCCTGCATACAGTGCATGAAAGCCCAGAAACTCTTCTTTTTTATACCTCTCCAGCGAAACTGGAGCATCTTACTGAGGCTGAACTCCCATTAAACCAAAGTTTCACTATAGTTTCATGCACTTAAGGCTTCAAAAGTCACCTCTAATCAAGGAAACCCATACCATAGTCCAGTAAAAAGTATTGTTCTCCTGAAAGGTCAGTAGACTCAGCAGCTTGTTTAAGGGTCAAAAGGGCATATCTCACTCTAACACAGGTAAAGCTACCAGCTAGTCCACTGCTACAAATTACTCAAAGGTAAGCCCTTCCACAAGGGGTCACCTATTTTCAAAGCTTCCCACAGCTTCCCCTAAATCACAGCCACAGCAGTCCGATGTGCTTATATACTTGTACTCTGATTAGATATGAATCTATTTCTTTGCTCTCACACAAGAAGGACTGAAGCCCTTCATCCTGCCACACTAAGTACCTAACAGCTGTCATGGTCACAATTTGCACTAACACAGTCAAAATGGCAATACTGACAGACGCAGTAGAGAAGGCACACTGACTGCTTCGTTTTTGTGAAACTAGGGTCAGCAAACCAATGTGATGCTGCATTCTTTGTAGATAAAAGTGGTGAAAATACTTTTGCCAAAGTAAACACAATAGCATGGTTTTACACATTCTTAAGTTTCAGCCTATCCTCTCTTCCTCCCAATTTGAAAACCATCAAGCCATTTTGAAGTGGGGTCTCAGAGGGGAAGTTTCTAAGAAACGCAAGAATAACTGTGCTAAAACTTAAGGCTTTAGAAAATAAGTATCAAAGTCAGCAGCACACACTAATAAGGATGAAAACAGAATTAAGCAAGTCAGATTATAGACACATTATCAGACTAGTCTACTGTCCAGGAACAGTATCAGTCTTCTAAAAATTCTCTCCCTTCATAAACGTCTTATGATCATGTGCAGAGAGGAGAAATAATTTAAAAATACAAATACTATCTGCACTAGCTTTCAACCAGTTGCTCATTTTTAATACGGCTTTTAAAATGCTTTCAGAAATGAGCATGATAGGTTTTGATTATGCTTTTATATATCAGAGCTTCATCAACAGTTTATGTTCTCTTAGCTAACTGGGACTAGATTTGCATATGTCTCTGCATCAACAAAAGCAGAAACACTAAGAAAGCAAACTCGGGACTGAAGAGAAGCTGACAACTTCTGCATCCTTTGAAACTGTACGCGACTAACATTTGATCAGGTAGAGCGATCAAGCACCAGGACATTAGACAAGCAGTCCGTAAAAGTGAAACACTGAACTAAATAGCACACAAGACTGATACAAAAACGAGGCGAATTGCGCAAGGATCTCAAACACACTACGTACGGCTTCTAGCACAGCCCCAATTTACGTACTTCTGCTGCCAGCGCGCTGAGTCACAAGCACTTGTTACTATATATGCTAAAAGATGATTCACATCGTCGACGCACAGCATCTACCGGCTAACTTCTGAATTCTATAACGGGCAGGGCCACGCCAGAAGAGGCGCTTCTTTTCTCCGGAGGGAGCTCCGTGCCCGCTGCAGCGGTTCCTACCGGCTCCATCACTTTTACCGTCAGAGTGCGGGGCCCCTCCCCGCGCGGGGGGCCGAGGAGCGG